GCTGGGGCTGGATTCCCGGGGGGCACAAAGAGAGACTCTGGTTGGGTGTTAGAGAAGACCCTGGTTTCAGGACCAGAAACCTGCTCAAGCCCAAGATGGGCTTTTCTAGAAGATTCCAGGAGTGTGCAGTGGCGCTTCAGGGCTGGGAGTGCAGATCAACTTCCTGAGCTACCAGAACCAGGAACTGGACAGCTGTAGGACCTTTTCTTGGCCTCCTGTTGCTGCTTCTGTCTGCTTAGCTTTCAAAACAATACTGATTGGGCCAGACCCTGGGGGTATAGAGTAGGTAAAGCGGACCCAGTCCCTGTCCTCAGAGAGCTAGAGACCGGTAAGGAAAGCTGACATTAAGCAAGGCAACAAACTAATACTTAGCAGTGTGTGACGAGCTAGGAAGGAAGCAAACAGGGAGCTGAGATGGAGGCTGTCAATGAGGCCTGTTTTAGAGAGAGAGGTGGGGAGAGGCCTCCCTAACAGAATGATGTGCACAGTGAGATGGATGAGAAAGTAGCAGGTGTAGGAAGGTCAGGGCAAAGGAATTCAGGGAGAGGAGCCGTGTGTGCAAAGGCGCTGAGGCAGGAAATGCTCTGCATATTTGAGAAATCGAAAGAAGCTTGTGTTGGGAGGTGAGAGGGAGAGGCCTGAGAGGCTATTGGGGTCATGGGGGGAGTTTAGGACTGAGCAGGTCCAATCTCAGGCACCTTTGTGAGGAGTCTGCTTTTTGTTGTTAGGGTGATGGCAGCTGTTGTGCAGAGGGGTGGCAGGTTCCACTTCTTGCTGTAAACTGATCCCCCTGGCTGCTGTGTGGGGAAGGGTGGGAAGGAGGGACTAATTAAGAGGCTCCTGAGCAAGTTCAGGCTGGAGATAGTAGTGGCCTGGACAGGGACAATGATTTTAGAAAATTAGAGGAGAAAAGGGATTCACAGTGGAGTTTTGAAGTTGAATCTGTAAGATTGCTGATGGGTGCTATGCTGGGGTATAGTAAAGGAGGATGCAAGGTGAGTGCTGGGTTTCTGGCTCAAGTGACTGGGTGCTGGGTGTGCCATTTACTCAGAGGAGGAAATCAAGGGTTCACTTTTGGACTTAAGTTTGGGACATGGATGAAGCATCCAAGTGGAGATGTCAAGCAGCTGGGGTCTGCCTGGGGCTGGGGTCTACCTGGGGCTGGGGTCTACCTGGGGCTGGGGTCTGCCTGGGGCTGGGGTCTACCTGGGGCTGGGGTCTACCTGGGG